TCCTTGTTCACCAAGTTAAACATCAGCCAGCATTGTGATGCAGCTGCTAAAAAGGCAAATGGCCTTGGAGTGTATTAACTGGAACAAAGAGTGAAGATCACAGGAAACAATTGTTCTAGTGTACTCTGTCCTGGTCAGACCCTATTTAGAATACTTGTCCAGTTCTGGGCACCACAGTCCAAGCAAGACAGTGACTAATTGGAACACATTCAGAGGAGGGCTATTAAGATGGGGAAAAATCTGCAAACCAAGCCCTGTGGAGAACAGTTAAACGATCTAGGTAAAAATGGATCTACAGAAAAGGTGAGCTAGAGAAGATATTATAATAGTTTTCAGTAATCTGAAGGATAATCTCATAGAGGGAAGAGTGGATTTATCTCTATTGGTCCAGAGGGCAAATCCAGGACTACTAGGTTAAAACTACAAGGAAGGAGGTTCAAGCTAGACAACCAGTTAAATGTCCTGAGTATGAGCTGTTAGCAATGGAACAGGCTGCCTGCCACCTAATGAGTTCTTCATTAGAAGTCTTCAAACAGGTTGGATGGTCATCTGTCTGAAATGTTTTAGTGGATTCTGCACTGAGCAGATGGTTGGGCTAGATGACCCTTTCAACTGTATGTTTCTTTGAGAACATGAAATAATATTAGTCTGGGAAAACTTATTCTTAGCAAATCTATATTGAGTTCTGGTAATTATCTTTTTTTAAGACAATTACTAAGCAATGGCTGTATGATCTGCTCTAGAATCTTTCCCGGAGTTACGAGACTGATAGTTTGTAGTTTCCCAGATCTCATTTTATTCCTTTTTTGAAAATAGGGTCATCTTGCACTTCAACCACCTATGATGAAAAAACTTACCATCCCCATTCTGATAATTCCTTTGTAGCAAAGGAGAAGGCATCAGGGAACACCAAACATTGTATCAGAATTGACTGTACACCTGAACTTTGCTGGCATGGGCTATAACTGAAGGCCAATTAGCCCCTGTTTTGTTTCTTTCTACTAGAACAAGTGACCATCCTTAGAAAAGCCAAATGCTTCCAAAAGGCAGTATTGGAAGAATAATTCTAAGATTAAGAACCTTGTTGAGTCTGTTATTTGTAAAATATAAAGAAAAGTTTCTTTCACCTCATGACTGTCATTAAGTTCTTTCTACAGGAGATTCAAAGGACACAAAATAAAAAGACTTATTGGCCTCTATTCAGTTAGAACAAACCAGTATTTTAACTGGTTTATTACAGGATTCCACATCTCAATAGTGCTTAAAATCTGGAAAACAAAATTTTAATATTTTACTAAATTAAAATATTTAATTGAGTTCCCAAAGTGGGGATAATAAATTGAAATTTTAATTAAATAGTCATATTTATAAATATGTAGTAAGGTTTAGAAAAGCTAGTATTGAAAGCTAGTATTTGTACAAGTGTTATGCAGCATAAGAACTTGCTTTTTTATCCAGGCTAATAGCATTTTTAATAAAAATAGAAAGCTGTGTTTCTGTTGTTCTGTCTGTAGTTTACTAAACAAACTAAATGACCATCATTATCTTAAAAATCAGAACATTTGTTGTTAATTAATTTATACAGCTGTCATTACAACTCTCCCTGTTATTCATACTTGAAGTGTTTGACTGCCATAGATTTTCTTCCCATTTTTGGCAAGGTTCCAGTGAAAGCCTGGGACTTATTAATCTGGCTTGGTGCAAAGTCTATTGATTGTGGCCTCGAGGGTAATAACTAAATAGAGCTGGAGCAACAAGTCAATAACACCATTGTTGCTACAGACTCAATTCACTTGAGAAGTGTGATTGTTTTACAGTGGCCAAGAGTAATCATAAGCAGATCAGCATGTTTGACAGTCTTTGCCCCATGTTAGCACTATGACTTGTTTTAAAGCTTTCAGATGGATCACTTGAGAATTAAGGTGGGGTGCAGGGATTAGGAACCTTGTAAACTCCTTCATTACAGCTAAAAGGTTTCAGCTTTGCTTTTAACATAGAGCAAGCAACGAGAGCTCTGTTCTCTAACATTGTAAGGCCATGCTAATACATACGCTGATCCAAAAAAAAAAAAAGCAATAGAACTGATCTCTTTTCTCCAGGTAACTGTGATCAAACACAGGATAGATATATGAATGCAATCTTCTTACGGTTGCCCTGTTTACAACAGTTTGTTGCCTGTATTTCATAAAATAAAAAGAGGCTATACTGTACCAGAAAACATAATATGAGGGGTAGAGCAGTTGCAGTAATGATTTCAAGTAATGTTGTCTATAGTTAATATAGATGAGGATGCTACAAAAATCTCTCTTAGATATCCTGTATTTGCGGAATAAATATGTTCTAGTGTAGCAGTTCAACAGATAAACATTAGGTCTGTGCAAACCTTTAAGAAAAGGTGCTTTGCAAAACATGTTAACACATAAAACAGCTCACCTCAAAGTGTGGGTTCATGCAGTTACATTGAAGGCTGTCTCTGGCTGTCCGTGTATGCATAGACAGGACTTTCGCTGAGACCATTAGAGAAGCAAACAGTGGTTGCATGCATACACACACCCAGATAACCAGGAACAGCCTTTAAAGCAGCATGTGAGCCTTCCAAATGATGGGGATGCTTTAATGCTTCCAGGAGGTGCTTTGCTCATGACAACACATTCACAGAATACCTCTTAATAAGTATATTTGTAAGTAAGGGGAAGTATAGGTCCTCCTTACATGCTTTTAGCTTTATTCGTGAAGCCCAAATAATGCAAGCATATGATATGAAGTATAAATTAATGAACCTCCACCCATTGTAAGATTGGCAATTCTAAACAGGGTTGATCTGGATCTGATACATAAAAGGTAACATCTAGTCTGTGACAGATATTGATAGAAGCTGACTTCCTAATCATCATCTTCCCTGTCCCCTTGAAAAGTCTCTAAGGGAGAGAAGGATGAGAAAGAAAGAGGCTCTCTACATATTGATTATGATACCATTATTCACTAAGTAAAGCACTCTATTAGTGCTTTGCGAAACAATGTGGATACCTCACTGCTAAGAGGGAAGCAAAGTGAGCACATTATTTCTCTCTCTCTCCCCCCCCCCCCGCAAAGCTTTGGTGAGCACTACAAAGGGACTCACTATTTGCCTTCTCTGCATTGCTCACCAACAGAATATTCTTGTTACTATGGAAGACATTATGTTTACTCCCAACTAGTCACCAAAGAAATTGCCAAAAGTGGAGATGAGCACCATATTACAGTATTTGCAGCACTTATTAAAAGTTTTGATGAGTGCTGCAAAGAATGTACTGCTCACCTCCTATGGCGAAGCTTTCCCCAAGCTTTGTCAAATCGTGTTGGATAGCTGGAAAACATCCTCTCTACCTTTTCCAGGATGGCCTCACCAAAGTCCAAAGAAGCTTTTTCCCAGGTGCACTGCCCATGCAGAATTCTCTTTTGGTGCTAACAAGTGACAGGTAGAACATAGGGAGCAGCTTCACGAGGCAGCATTGCTTCATTGAAGCAAATAAAGTTACCTCTTTGCTTCGGTAAAGAGAATCATCTTGTCTCCATGGCATGAATCTCTTCTTTGAAGTGAATTTAGGTCATTTTGAACACACCTAATTTTTGTCCTTTTAGTGAATGGTGATTTATACCAATAATGGGAAATACAGGACTTTGGAGTGCTAGTTACCATTACAGATGGATACAAGGTAAAGGCTGTGATATGATGAGGCATATAGATTTTTTTTCTCATACCCTTTCAGTACACATTTAATCCTCATTATTATCTCCCCCCCCCCTTTGTCCTCTTCATTCATTATATTCTGAAAGTCTTGATATTTGGATATTATTGCCTTACCCAGATCCAGTACAGTTGTTTTATTGAACAACCTGTGCTTGATATTTGCCACTTTTTTACTTGCAAGTCTCCATGGCATTTACTGACTAACAAAAGGTTGAAATTCATCATGTGGCTCTAACCTAAAAAGCAACAAAAGAAGTAGCATGTGTTTGGCAGTTCATTTTTATCTGGATAGATATACTGATTTAATCCCATTATTATCAGTGCAAGCTCTAGCAATTTTGTACCTTTCACATTTAAGTGCCTCTTGGAGCTCTGGGGTGAGGAAAAGGCTGCTTTTTAAATTGATCATAACTTTACAAGGTGATTAACTTCTGGGGAAGAAATGTGAACTGAAGATAACTGCAGTAGAATGAAGAGCCGGTGAGTGGACTGGCTCTTTGAGATTCTCTCTGGACAAGAAGAGGACTTGGGATTGCCCATAAGTGTTCCAGACAATTGCTCCTTATGAGCAGACTGCAAGACAGTGGTCTCTGGTGGGTTTAGAGCTCTGGAAGATGAGGGAACACCATCTTCACCCAAACTGCAGTTGGTGCCTTTATGGACACAGGGTTCACATAGTTTTCTAATCACTTTTGGAAATTGTTCATTAACTAAATTTCTGTTATTAGGAACCTTTGGAATGAAAAGTTTTACTGCACTGGGTGAGTTTCCTTCAATTCTAAGTGAAAGAAGTTTTAAATATAAGTTTATGGACTTTAAAAAATCTTCTTTTGCAATAAACAGCAAAAGGCTGATTAGAACGTTGATTTTGGAAAGTTACAAGTGGACCAAAGGTCCAGATGGATTTGAATAAGATTTTAAAAATTAATTATAAGAATCCTACCCATGGGAAAATGCTGTTGTTTTGAACTCTTTAAAAAAAAATTGATAGGATGGGACTTTGAAGGTTGGACACTAGAGAGAACCAGAAGGAACTAAAGATTACAATTAAAGGAGAATAATACTTAAATTTGGCTAACTAATTCAGAATGGAGCAAAATACTTTAACATTGAATGTATTGAAGGATATCTCTGAACAATGGACCCAGAAGTTAATTTTAAGAGTGTCTGCCATTATAGATAGACTGTGTTTGTAAGATGTTATGGAAAAGGAGCAAGTTTTATTAGACAGGACTGAGACTGATTTCAAAGTGGATTTAAAAATGACAAGTTACAGGAATGATGTGAAAGGAGATGTACACTGGATATACAAATGAAACCAGCTGATGTTTCAATAATTAAAAGGGATTTGCAAGTAACAAACCAAAGGAGTGTCCTGGATAACTTCCTTATATTGGATCTACAAAAGAGACTTGTTAAAGTTTTGAAGAGAGGGGGCAAAGAAAAAATGAAAAGAAATCAAGTTCTAGGCCATTGCTTGAAGGGATTAAGAATCAAGATTGTTAAAAGTATAGGGAAGAAATGTAAAGTTGGTTTATTTGATCAAGGTTAAATAGATATATTGTTATTTCTGGTAACCCTTGATGGACTTTTGATGATCAGGACTGAACAACAAGGTTTTAAGGTTTTGTTTATAAATGAAAGATGGGATATGGGAAGAAGAGCTCATTTGTTGTATTTTAAAAGAAGGTGATAAGTTACTAAAATTGTGTATAATTGTTGTGATGAAGGGGAAGGTCATTTCCTTATATATTTATTTTCTTTTTCTTTACTACATTCTTATTTTTTCTTTTTTCTTTTTCTATTTTCTATTTTCTGCACTTTCTATTCTTTTTTTATTCTTTTATTTTTCTTAGTGTGTATTAGTTTTTATCTTTTTAATTGTAATGTTTAATAACATTACGATTAAAAAAAAAACTTTATAAGGTGATCAGTGACAGCCTTATTCACCCAGTAGTTGTTGGCTGGGCCACATCCATAAGTGTATAGAGTGATAAGTAAGATGTATAAGTTTTTATCTTCAGGTGTTGCACTAGTGTGTCCTTCAGTTATATAGTCATATCTAAAATGTTGAGCAAGTAGGCTGAGAGGTCTGGTTCAGTTTTTCACCTCCTTGATACTAAGCCTTAGGGAAAAGCCACGTGATTTCAATAGATGTGAATTCACACACTGAACTAATTTCCATAGAGGTGTAGGTACTTCTGATGTAGTTCCATGATCTTGAGAGACTAAGGTAACTTACTCTTTCTCTTGTTTTACTTTCTATAAAGGAGCACAGTAATTTTAACACAATATTTTGTGCTCTGAATTAATCACTAAAATGTATGTTGTACTTTTCCTCTTCATGAATCTTACCTGACTTAATGAGCCCCTTTAAAACTGATAGTGGAGAGGGAGCTCAAGAGAGCAAAGCTTCAAGCAGAGAATAATACAGGTGAAAATCAAAAAATTAGAATATCGTGCAAATGTTTATTA